AGATGAGGCCAGGGACTAATGAAAGTATTTAGAAAATTGGGCAGACTAGATGGGCCAAATGGTTCTTATCTGCCGTCACATTCTATGTTTCTATGTTTTTCTGTTTCTGATTGTCAGGGGTCCGCGGGCGGCTAGGAGGGGAGGCTGCACGCCGCTTGCAGCACTCACCCTCAGTCCATCGCCGCCCGCGGTCTCCCCTCTTCTTACCTGTCGGTGAGCGGCGTCTCCTCTCCGCCGCTCGCGCCCTTCACGCCCCCCAGCGGCAGCATGTATAACGCTGCACGCTGGGAGGTCGCTGATTTATGCAAAAGAAACAGTACCACAATCACAGTGGGAGGCATAGATATCCCCCACGTTGGGCAGACTAGATGGGCCGAATGGTTCTTATCTGCCGTCACATTCTATGTTATTGTTAATTCTGATTGGAAGTTATCCAATCAGAATTAAACCAAGGGTATTTATACTTACCTTTCCTGTGCCTCAGTGCCCTGTTGTGGTCTTGTGATATCTGTAGTGCTGTTCTCTCGTGTTGCTCTCTGGTTACCGATTTTTTGGCTCGTTATTCCGATTTTCCTGTATTCTTCACTCCTTTGACCTCGGCTTGTTTCTCGTTCTCCCATTTTCTGGCTCCCTTTACCTGGCCTGTCTCCTGACCATTCTTAGTGTGCTTAGCCCGGCCACTCTAAGGACCGGTATAGCACCCTTCCTCTCTGTGACCTGTTAGCGTGTTAGGTTCCGGAATCGTGACATTACAACAGGGCCACTATGGAACCTGCTGACATCCCACAGTTGTTAGTAAATCAGGAGGCTAGAATGGATGGTTTAGACCACCGTATGGATCAGTTTGCTCAGGCTTTACAAACCATACTGGCTCGTACTGCCCACTTGCAACCTGCCGTTCAAGAAGCTGTTGCTGCTGTGCCAGAACCCATTCCTGATCCAGTACCCGCTCCTGTTGACGTGGTTCACATGACGCCACCTCAGCGCTATAGCGGTGATCCAGCATTGTGCCGTGGTTTCCTCAACCAAATTGATATTCATTTGGTGATGAATACTCGTTCCTACCCCACTGACAGAACCAAAATTGCTTTTTTGATCAACCATTTGTCCGGGAAAGCTCTAGCATGGGCTAATCCCATGTGGGAGAATATGTCCCCAATGTCCTTTGCAGACTTTTTAACAGCTTTTAAACGTACATTTGATCAACCCGGCCGGGTTGCTTCTGCTGGCAAAGCTCTGCTTAGGGTCCGACAGGGTAATAGATCTGTAGCGGATTATACCATTGAATTCTGCACTATGGCAGCTGAAGTGGTTTGGAATAACGACGCTCTCGTAACAGCTTTTCAGGAGGGTTTGGCCACTTACATATTAGACGAAATAGCATTCAGGGAATTGCCTGTTCTTCTGGATGATGTGATAGATTATATCATTCTTATTGACAACCGTATTAGAGAGAGGCCTAGTCAAAGAAGGATGAAAACACAGGGTTACCTGCTTTACCCAGTACTGCATTACTAGCATTACCTCCCCCTAATCAACCACCTCCCGAACCCATGCAATTAGGTGCTGTAGGCTTATCTGAAGCTGAAAGAACGTGCCTTTATTGTGGTAAGAGGGGGCATCTCCGAATAAACTGTCCTAGTTTGCAGGGAAACTCCAGCACCTTAGACCTAGAGAGGGGTCGGCCTCGGGTGTTATGGTTTTTTCCCCTCATGTGTCCATCTCCAGACCATTTATTACGGTTATTCTTTTGGTCAATCAAACCACGATAACAACTAAAGCCTTGATCGATTCAGGTGCTGCAGATAACTTTATGGATGAGAACTTTGCTAAAACCGCAGCCTTGAATCTGATCCAAAAGGCCACACCCTTGGCCGTTGAGGCCATAGATGGTAGACCACTTGATAAACCTTTGGTGACCCATGAAATCCAAAGAAATTGTTATGGTCATGGGTGCCTTACACAAAGAAAGGATAACCTTCCAAATAATTGACTCCCCTACAGCTTCCATCGTTCTGGGCTTCCCCTGGTTAGTTAAGCATAACCCGGTACTTGATTGGGGTTGTCTAGATATACTCTCCTGGGGGGAATCTTGTCAACAAGACTGTATGGCTCGTTTACGTCCCGTTTGTTTACTTAATGTGCCTACAGCTAAACCACTTTCTGTTTATGTTCCTCCTGTGTATGCAGACCTCGCATTCGTCTTTGAAAAAAGGGAAGCTGATAAACTACCCCCACACCGGGATTATGATTGTGCCATAAACCTGTTACCTGGAACGATGCCTCCTAGGGGTAAGGTCTACCCGCTTTCTGAGAAAGAAAACCAGGTCATGGAGGAGTACATACAGGAACCCTTACGTAAAGGTTTTATCAGAAGGTCCTCCTCTCCGGCTGGTGCTGGTTTCTTTTTTGTTGCCAAGAAAGAGGGCGATTTGAGGCCATGTATAGACTATAGGGGCCTGAATAATATAACAGTTAAAAACGCTTATCCTATCCCTCTCATTACTGAGTTGTTTGACCGTGTTAAAGGTTCTAGATATTTTACTAAACTAGACCTCAGGGGGGCTTACAACTTGGTTCGTATTAAAGAAAATGATGAATGGAAGACAGCGTTCAATACACGCAGTGGGCATTACGAGTATCTAGTCATGCCTTTTGGACTGTGTAATGCTCCTGCTGTCTTTCAGGACCTCATAAATGATGTCCTTAGAGATTTACTGCACGTCTGTGCCGTGGTTTATCTCGATGATATACTTTTATATTCTCCTGATTTGGAGTCACATCATGCCCATGTGAGGAAGGTACTTAAGAGATTGCTACAGAACGGTCTTTATTGTAAATTGGAGAAATGTTTATTTGACCAGAAATCAGTACAATTCCTAGGGTACATCATTTCTGAACAGGGGTTCAGCATGGATCCTTCAAAATTAGAAGCCATATTGTCTTGGCCTCTTCCTCAAGGCCTTAAGGCAATACAGCAATTTATAGGCTTTGCCAATTATTATCGTAGGTTTATTAAAAACTTTTCATCAGTCATTTCACGAAACTGACTAAAAAGGGTTTGCACCCCAGGGTTTGGACTCCTGAAGCCATTGAAGCCTTCGAAACTCTCAAAAAGGCATTTGCCACTGCCCCTGTGTTACACCATCCTGATCCTTCCCTTTATAATGGAAGTAGACGCTTCAGAATCAGGTGTAGGAGCTGTATTATCACAAAGACTATCCTATAACGAACCCCTCCATCCCTGTTGTTACTTTTCTAAAAAACTGTCTGATTCAGAAAAGAATTACGACGTCGGGAACAGGGAACTATTAGCTATTGTGATGGCTTTTAAAGAGTGGAGGTACTTATTAGAAGGAGCTAGACACAAAATCCTGGTTATAACTGATCATAAGAATCTCTCCTATATAGCTGATGCTAAAAGGTTGTCCCCTCGTCAAGCTAGATGGTCCTTATTTCTTTCACACTTTCAGTTCATTATCACATATAGGCCTGGGTACCGTAATGTCAAGGCTGATGCTATCTCCCGACAATACGAACCTTTGGAGTCTATTGCCCCCGCTCCTGAACCCATTGTACCCACGTCTAAGATAATAGCTGCTACCCGTTTGGTTATTTCGTCTCTTTTCCTTGATGGTATCAAAGCATACCAAACCCAAGCACCCTCTGAGACACCTGTTGGTAGATTGTACGGGAAAGAAAAAGAGAGAAAGAAATTGTTAGCTTTATTTCACACCGCCAAAACGGCCGGTCACCCAGGGGTTACCAAAATCTACAAGGGTCTCCTTCAACAGTTTTGGTGGCCTTCACTTAAGCAAGACATAGTGGATTATGTGCAGGCTTGTCGTGTTTGTGCACAGTGTAAGTCCCCTAATGTTAAACCCCTGGGACTCCTACTGCCTCTATCCGTACCCAAGAAACCATGGACCCACTTATCCATGGACTTTATTGTAGATCTTCCTTCATCCGATGGAATTACAGTAATTTTGACTGTGACTGATAGGTTCTCTAAAATGGCACACTTTATTCCACTTAAAAAACTACCTTCTGCGGTTCAGTTGGCTCAGGTATTTGCCAAAGAGGTTTTCGCTTGCATGGTATACCACAGGATATCGTATCCGACAGGGGTCCTCAATTTGTCTCTCGGTTTTGGAGGGGCTTTTGTGCTGAGATGGGGATTTCCTTGTCGTTTACTTCCTCCTATCATCCACAATCTAATGGAGCTGCCGAACGGGCGAATCAATCTGTGGAGTTATATTTATGCTGCTTCACGAATGCGCACCAGGAGAAGTGGTCTCACCTCCTTCCCTGGGCTGAATTCGCCAGGAACACTGTGACTCATTCGTCCACTGGGACTGGGCCTCGAGGGGGGGGGGTTATGTCAGGGGGCCGCTAGGAAGGGAGGCTGCACGCCGCTTGGAGCACTCACGCTCAGTCCATTGCCGCCCGTGGTCTCCCCTCTTCTTACCTGTCGGCGAGCGGCGTCTCCTCTCCGCCGCTCGCCGCTTGCGCCCTTCATGCCCCCCAGCGGCAGGATGTATAACGCTGCACGCTGGGAGGTCACTGATTTATGCAAACGCCGGGGTCACGTGAGTGACCCGGCGTTAAACAAACAGTACCACAATCACAGTGGGAGGCATAGATATCCCCCATGTGTGATTTTTAATTCTGATTGGAAGTTATCCAATCAGAATTAAACCAAGGGTATTTATACTTACCTTTCCTGTCCCTCAGTGCCCTGTTGTGGTCTTGTGATATCTGTAGTGCTGTTCTCTCGTGTTGCTCTCTGGTTACCGATTTTTTTGCTCGTTATTCCGATTTTCCTGTATTCTCCACTCCTTTGACCTCGGCTTGTTTCTTGTTCTCCCGTTTTCTGGCTCCCTTTACCTGGCCTGTCTCCTGACCATTCTTAGTGTGCTTAGCCCGGCCACTCTAAGGACCGGTATAGCACCCTTCCTCTCTGTGACCTGTTAGCGTGTTAGGTTCCGGAATGTGACACTGATCAAACGAGCTTGGAATATAGGAATGATATAGATACTAAAACTATGATACTAAAGTATGATCCCATCACATAAAACTATAGGATCATTCTTTAGTATCATAGTTAGAGTATCTATATCATTTCTAGATTGCAAGCTCGTTTGATCAGGATGTTCTTCAGCTCTTAATCTGCTGTATGTCAATAACTTCTCAAATATCCCCATTCTTTAATTGTAAATCTCTGTGGAATATGTTAGCGCTATATAAATGCTAATAAGTATATACTAAAGCAGTGGTTCCCAAAGTGTGGGTCGCAGAGCGATTCCCAGTGGGTCGCGCTGACCCACACATGCAGGGCCGCCGGGTACTCAGAAAGGCAGACTGATTATTTGGGCTCTCGGTCCGTGATCGCGGGCCCGACATCAGGAGGGGGCCCGGCGGCTTGCCCTGTATGCCGCAGGGCTCCCTCCAATCAGTCTGCCCAGCACCTCCGGTCTGCAGCTTCGCCCGGTGCAGAGCTGCAGACCGTGTGATAGAAGTCTTGCAAGCTCCCAGAGCATTACCATGGCAACACTGGGTGCTCGCCTAGACTTTTATGACATGGTCTGCAGCTCTACACCCGGCGGAGCTGCAGACCGGAGAGTTAAATCACCGGACCATCAGGGAATTTATTACAGGTAGGACACAGCCCCCAGACCATGTCCTCCCTCCCAATGTAACCCCTTTTCTCCTTGTCCCCTCCCACCCCACTGTAACCCCTTCACTCCCTGCCCACACTGTAACCCCTTCTGGCCCTGCCCCCCCACTGTAACCTATTCTCTGCCTACCCCTCCACTGTAACCCCTTCTCTGCCTACTCCCCCACTGTAACCCCTTCTCTCCCTGCCCACCTCCCCCACTGTAGCGCCTCTCCCTGCCCCCTTTAACCTGTTCTCTTCCACCCGCTTTAACCCCTTCACTCCTGCCCCCCTCCCCTGCTTAACCCCTTGTGGCCCTGCCCCTACTGTATCTCTCCCTGCCCCCCCCTCCCCACTGCCAGCCCTTCTCTCTGCCCTGCCACCCCCCACTGTAGCGGCTGCTCCTGCCCCCCTCCCCACTGTAGCCCTTCTCTGCCTACCCACTTGCTGTAGCGGCACACTCCTGCCCCTCCCCGCATAGCAACCCCTTCTCACCCCTCCCCCCACTTAGCCAGCCCTTTGCTCTCTGCCCCCCTCCCACACTATAGCCCATGCTCTCCGCCTCCCCCCACTGTAACCCCTTCTCTGCCCCTGCCACCCCACTGGCTTGACTCCTGCCCCCTCCACACTGTAGCCCTTCTCTCCTGCCCCCTCCCCTGTAACCCCTTTACTCTCTGCCCCCCTCCCACACTGTAGCCCCTTCTCTCCTGCCCTTCTCCCCACACTGTAGCCCTTCTCTCCTGTCCCCACACTGCATGCCGCCACCTCCCCCACACTGTGACCCCTTCACTCCCTGCCCCCCTCCACACTGTAACCTTTTCTCCCCCTGCCCCCCACTGTCCCCTTTTCTTCCCCTGCCCCTCACACTGTAACACTTTCTCCCCCTGTAACCCTTTCTCACACTGCCCCCCACACTGTTACAAGTACACACACTCCCTCCCACACTGTCACCCTCACCTCCTGTCTCTGCGTGTCCTTTTGGGTCAGTGTGTGTGTATTTGTGTGTCTGTGTGTATCTGTGTACATGAGTGTCTGTATCTGTGTGTGGGAAACTAGGTGTCATTGTGTGTATCGCTGTGTCAATGTGTGTATTTGTGTCTGTGTGTATACATTGCACACATACTCCATACAAAAAACATGCTTACATTCAAACACACATTGTGTATATGTATATTTTATAAACACAATATACACACACTGCATCCACTACACACACACACACACACACACAGCAATCAAACGTAAACATTACATACAAACACACCCCTGCATTAAAACACTAAAATGATCTACAAACACCCCTTCATTCAAACACCAACACTACACACAAAAAGCACACCTGCATTTAAAGTCCTACACTACATATACAAACACCCCTGCATTCAGACGTAAACATTACAAACAAGTACACCAATACATTCCAATAGCAACAGTACATACAAATACACCCATACATGCAGGGCCTGACTGGCCCACCGAGATACCGGGAAATTTCCCGGTGGGCTGTCTCACTTGGGGCCGCACAGTGCAGCAACCCTTCCTCTCCCCACCCAGTACACACACACATTGGGGGTACTGGGGAGCACAGGTCCCCTCTTACCTCTAGAAGAGGCTTTCCTTTATCCACTCGAGAGCAGACAGCTGGCAGGAGCCTGGATTAAATGCAGGGAGGGTGACAGTCTCTGTCCCTGCCTGACAGCCTTCACACACAGGAAGCATGTGACCCAGTAATCAGGCAGAGCAGGGCAGCCCACACGGGTCTTCCGAAGTCTTGCTTCCTGTGTGTAAAGTGCTGCCAGGCAGGGAGCCCTGTGAGAGAGCTGGAGGGAAGCTGCTGGGAAGGAGCAAGGTAGGCTCAGTGAGCAGAGGCACCCAGTCAGGCATTTCATGTTAATTGTACTGATTCTTAGAGTGTTTATATTTGAGGGTGTAGTTGTGAGTGTGTTTGGTGTGTATTTTTGTAGTGTGTGTCAGTATGGATCAATGTGTGTGTTTCAGTATGGATCAATGTGTGTGTGTCTGTGTGTGTCAGTGTGGATCAATGTGTGTGTGTGTGTGTCAGTATTGGTCAATGTGTGTGTGTCAGTATGGATCAATGTGTCAGTATGGATCAGTGTGTGTGTGTCAGTGTGGATCAATGCGTCAGTATGGATCAATGTGCGTGTGTGTGTGTCAGTATGGATCAATGTGCGTGTGTGTGTGTCAGTATGGATCAATGTGTGTGTATGTCAGGGAGTGTGTATGCATTAGTGATTGTGTGCCAGTGTTTGTATGGGATGCAGCATTAGTTTGTGTGCCAGTGTCTGTTGATGAGTACATGTCAGTATGTATGGGCATCAGTGACTACACGCCTGTGTGTGCCAGTGAGTATTTATTAATTAAAAATCCATGTGTCTGTCTATGTTTTTTTTTTTTTTATTTAAAATAAATTGAATCTAAAAAAGTTATATATAGTTTTATATAGTTTTGCTTTATCTATGTGATTTTATGATTTGTGGGAGTATTATGCATCTATATATTTGCACACATGTATATTAATATATGAGTATTATATCAAAATATATATATATGTTCAGCCCCCACGGTGATCGGCTGCCTGAGAGTAGAGGCAGGCCTTGGGATCACTGAGGACTGAGGCAGCCAGGCTGCTGGGGGCGGCCAGCTCATTTATTGCAGAGGGAGGGAGAGGGGTGGCTGGCCCATGGAGAGCTGTGATAGAAAAGGTGGGCAGCTGACGGAGGGGAGCAGCCAGGTAATGCAGAGCAGAGGGAGGCGGGCGGCTGACTTAGTGCCACGGTGAAGGAGCTGTAATCTCCCTGCTCTGCTCCCTTGCGCAGCTTGCAGTGATTCACGGAGCTGGGTTATGATGTCACTCTGGCCCCCGGCTCACTAAACAGTGCGTGAGAGGGAGCCGAGTAGGGAGATGACAGCAGTTCTACTGGACCCCAGGGAAAGCATATTCTCTTCAGCTCTCTAAAGGTAAATTTAAATAAAAGAGTAATTACTTGTGAGTGTGTGTGTTTTTGAGTATGTCTGTGAGTGTGTGTCTGTCGGAGTGTTGGTCTGAGTGTCTGTCTCTGTGTCTGTCTGTGAGTGAGTCTGAGTCGGTCAGTAAGTGTGTGTGTTCCCTCCAATCACATGGGAAAGGGTTTTGGGTTTTTTTTTTTTTTACTCACCTTTTTTCCACGCTGTGGCTGGCCCCACCTCCATGGCTGAGATTATCAATGTTGACGATCTCAGCCAATCCAATGCTTCCTCATAGCAAAGCATTGGGAAACTATTGCGCATGCACGGCAAAATGCCACTGCGCCAATTTACTTTCTCATAGAGATGCATTGAATCAATGCATCTGTATAGGGAACATTAACGTAAGGGCTACACAGTGTGAAGCACTGACCCAGGAAGCACCTCTAGAGGCCGTCTGAGTGACTGTCGCTAGAGGTGTCACCAGGCAGCAATGTAAACACTGTTTTGTCTGAAAAGTCAGTGTTTACATTTAAAAGCGTTCAGGGTCAGGATATAGACTTCAGAGCAACTACATTAAGCTGTAGTGGTTCTGGTGATTATAGTGTCCTTTTAAGAATTGTGTTTTTGACGTTGATTTCTCTGGCTCCTAACTTTTCTAGCTGGCTGCTAGATTCCAAAGTAATTTGTAAAACTGTGTGTGTATATGCATATATACACACACACACACACACACACACACACACACATAATCTTGTAAATTATTATGGTTATAATATATATATACACACACATACATATACACACAAACATCAGTATGATACACATATGTTAACCCCTTAAGGACGGAGCCAAATGTACACGTTGTGAACAAAACAAAATGTAAACAAAACCTGGCATTTGCGCTACATGTCTGTCCAACCGTAATTCACCTCTTTCATAGTAAATGCAGCCACCCTTATTATATATCATTTTATTCAGGGGAAAGAGGGCTTTCATTTAATATCAAATATTTAGCTATGAAACATAATTTAATATGAAAAAATGGGAGAAAATACGAATTTTTTTTTTTTTTTTAGTTCTACATGACATTTTAACGGTCAATGTCATAATACTGTTTGCTTTTACTGCAATAAAATACACATATTTGTATTCAGTAAAGTCTCACGTGTAAGACAGTACCCCTATGTACAGGTTTTATGGCGTTTTGGGAAGTTACAGGGTCAAATATAGCACGTTACATTTGAAATTGAAATTCGCCAGATTGGTTACGTTGCCTTTGAGACTGTATAGTAGCCGGGGAATGAAATTTACACCCATAATGGCATACCATTTGCAATAGTAGACAACCCAAGGTATTGCAAATGGGGTATTTCCAGTCTTTTTTAGTAGCCATTTGGTCACAAACACTGGCCAAAGTTAGCGTTAGTATTTGTTTGTGTGTGAAAAATGCAAAAAATGCCAATTTTGGCCAGTGTTTGTGACTAAGTGGCTACTAAAAAAGACTGGACATACCCTGTTTGCAAT